GTACCGCCGGTGCCGCCGGTGCCGACGGTACCGCCTATACCGTCGGTACTTCCAGTGCCGCCGGAATCTAGCTCTCTTTCTGGTGGCGCAGTAGCCGGAATAGTGATCGGTGCCGTCGCTTTGGCCCTTCTAATTCTGGTTGTCCTGTTTCTGTTCTTCCTGCGTAAAAGTAAACCTGTGGAAGATAGTTTGACGGAGAATCCGGCCACGAAGTTGCCGGAGTTCGAGATTAAGATTAAAAAGGTGGCTGCAGCCACCGCACCTCCGCCGGGAATCGCGGTTTCTAGGAAGCAATTGGTGTTCCTCGGGAATGCACCAAGGGTTTTCGATCTCGAGGATCTGTTGAGGGCTTCAGCGGAGGTTTTGGGGAAGGGGAGATATGGTATCTCGTACAGGGCGGCGGTGGGGGAGAATTTGGCGGTGGAGGTGGCGGTGAAGAGATTGAAGAATGTGAGGATGCCGGAGAAGGAATTTGCAGAGAAGATTAAGGCCATAAGCGCAATGGAGCACCATAATCTTGTAGCTCTCCGAGCATATTACTACGGAAGGGAGGAGAAGCTCTTGGTCTACGACTATATGCCATTGGGGAGTCTTTCTTCTCTGCTGCACGGTTAGTTTCTCTTCCAGTACTTTCGGTTAGATTTCATGAGCTGATTTTAACCATCTAAATTTTATAATCCTTCCAAATTTTAAATATAACATTTTAATCATCCAAATATTATATTTTAAAGGTTGAATGATTAAAATAAAATATTCAATTTTATTTTATGGTTGATATGTAAAAATCACTTTTTTAATTGGAGTGCAATGTTTTATGGGTATATTTTTTTGAAGTGAGCTCTTCTTCTCACCTATGTCCACAATGTTATATCTTTTTGTATTTTTTCAATCAATTTTGTAAAATTTGTAAAGTTGTTTATGAAACTATTATAGGGAAATAATTTTTAATTAAAATTAGAATGAATATTATAAATATTTTTATTTTTGAAATGGCCAAACTTTTTTTTTTGAGGGAAGAATAAGTGCTTGAACCCAACATTTTAAAACAATTTCATTTCATCTTCATGTGCTACGTATTAGAATAGTTCATTTCTATTTTCTTAGTTGTGACGGACGAATAAATCGTTCTAAAAAATAAAACTTTCACGACAAAAATTTTTGCAGTCCAAAAAGAAAGTAATTACCAAATAGATATTTGACAGTAGTTTGAAAAATAAATAGCTGAAAAGTAAATCTATAAAGCAGTCTCTTTTTTGTTCTTATTTTAGGGCTCTTTTTTTTTTCCCAAAAAAAGAATTAAATAAAGTGAATAATGGTGTACAGTCAACGCTTGAAAACCTTCCAATTTTCCCTGTCAACAACCATTTTGACTGAATGCTTGGGAATACTCTCATCGACTTCGTCATCGCCGTCTTCTGACTGAATTCTTTCTGAACTTTCTAAAGTTTCAATTTTTTCTTTTAGAAGAAAATGAGGGCCACGCCCAACAAACAAAAGTTTCAATTTTTTCAAACTGAAATTTCAAATGTCAAACAGGAAACAGAGGCTCCGGTCGTCCCCCTCTGAAATGGGAAACCAGAATCAAAATCGCTTTAGACGCAGCCCGCGGCATTGAATTCATTCACTCAACTTCTCCCTCTGCATCTCACGGCAACGTCAAATCTTCCAACATTCTCATCACCAGCTCCTACGGAGCTCGAGTTTCCGATCATGGCGTCGCTCATCTCGTTTCTTCATCTCCTCCCCAAACCTTGACTCCAGAGTCAGATGTTTTCAGCTTCGGCGTCCTCCTCCTTGAGCTGGTTACGGGTAAAGCTCCGGCGGAAGGCGGCGGAGTTGTTAATCTGCCGCGATGGGTAGAGTCCCTGATTCGGGAAGAAAGAACGAGAGAGTTGTTTGATGAGGAGTTGGTGAGGTTTGGGAGTCCGGAGGAGGAAATGGTGATGCTTTTGCAGGTTGGAGTTGACTGTGCATCCGATAATCCGGAGCATCGGCCGGAGATGTCGTCCGTAATGGAGGAGGTCCGTCGTTGGGCTAATCGGAAGAAGGACAAATTGAAGGAGAAGGAAGGTCCTGTTTTTTGATAATGTAAATTAGAATTGCTGGGGAGAGTTTAGAAATCATTATTTTCTTTCGAGATGATGATTTGGATGGCTGCCATGCGATTCGCTGCAACCATATTCAAACCGTTATCAAAAGTCTAGATTTTTTGATTTGGGATGAGTGATTCATTAGTTCTTTGATTTATCATTTGTAAATTATTTTGATTGATTTATTGCTATCCATTATACCTATTAAAGGTTTTGGTACCTTAATAAAGTTTTTCTTTTTTATTGTTTCATTAATTTTGGATTCAATTTTATTGTTTTTTTTTTTTTAATTATAGAGAAGTTGGGCTTTAATTTATTCATGAGTAACATGATAATTTTACTAAAATAATTATTATAAAATTAGAATAAAAGAGGCCGAGAATATAAAATTAGAAATACTATTGTTTCACTACAAGGTATGAAGTATAAGTTGAACAAATTATTGAATGTATCATGTTTATCCTAGGATCTCTTATTTGCACATTATATGCTTGAGTTAAGACTTAGTTCTACACAAATGTCTATAATTATAAAATTTAATTTAATCTATTGACATTTTTTTATTTTGATCTAATAAAACACAAATCTTAATGCAAATCTCAAGTATGGAAACTAACAAAAATAAATTCAAGGTCATGATTATATATTTTTTATTTAATTCAACAAATTTATAATCTAACTAAATGTTTAAACACATTCATCGGGCTAAATATAACAACAATAAAATCAGTTCAATCAGAATTGAAAGCTTCAAAGCATTAATTAAAGGATTAGACGGCCTCTTGATTTAGCATGCCTAATTATAATCTAATTTTGAGTGACTCATGAGAGGAATACAATAAGTTAAATCTATCTAATTTAATGGCCGCTATGTCGCTTAAATGCTGAAATAATATTCTATTATTAAATGAATCAAATAGATTATAATAAAAGAGTTTATAGATTTTGGTTAAATTTATTAAAATATATATCCCAAAACTATAAATGAAACCCTATTTTCTAAGGTTTTAAAAATTGGATTGGAGATTGAACTGATAAAAGAAAAGGTTCAAGATTTAAAGGTTGAGCGGGGGTTCAACCTGATGACATAATAAATCATAACTTTATTCAAAAATAACATAAATTATGTAATAATGATATATTTTGGAGTTGATATTAAGGATTTGAGTGTTATGTTTATAAATATGAAAGAGTAAGTGTTATATATTAAAATTAATTTATTTTCCAGATATTTTGAGTGAATTATTCTCATAAAATAAAGATAGTTATTTAAAACTAAATAAATTCTAATGTTATTTTGATAAGAGTAAAATTTTCATATATTTTAATAATTTATGTAACACATAATAATAATAATATAATTTGTTTAGTAATTTATTATTATTTTCAATATTTTACTAAAGATTTATGATTACTAATATTCATAATTTATCTTATTTAAGAAATTTTATTTTTTGCTTTTAAATTAAAAAATATATATTTTTACTAAAAGTGATATATTATCAAGAATCATTCATGAAAAAATTATTATAGGAATTTTATTAATAACACAGGAAATTTAATTTTTTTTGTTCTATATATTAAATTGATTAAATATATAGTAATAAATTTTATTAAATTTAATTAGTTATATTATTATGTAAATCAATATATCAAATTTAATAATTTGAGTTATACATGTAACATTTGTGGCTCTATCTAAAAATATATCTTTCCTGTGTTTCCATTACTTTTAGCTAACATCTAAAAGAGTCATACACTAATTGTTGGAAGTAGAAATAAATTGTAATAATTTTAAATAGCTAGACAATTTTTTAAGATAGGTGGGTAGGGTTGTTAACGATCTTATTTTGAGCCGAGGTGGGGGGAGGAAGAAGAAAGGTCAACCCTAACTAACCCTAACTAACAACAACCACAACCACAAAAGAAAGGTCAACCCTAACTAACAACAACCACAAAAGAAAGGTCAACCTTAGCCACCGAAACCAACCCTAGCCACAATGACAAAGAAGTGAGGGTGGAAGAAGAAATGCCAATACATAGCAACAACCATCGCTACCAACAACCGCCAAAAAAGCTAACCATAGCCACCAAAAACAGTGGAGAAAGGGTTCATGAGAAAGGGGCATGCGAGAGCACAGAGAGTGAAAAATCAGGTAGAAAAAAGAGAAATATTGCGACCCACATTTAATTACTTTTAAAAAATACATTACAATTGCGATTTCCAAACACACATAATCGACGTTTTTCCACCGCACTGTTCATTTTAAGCTCCGTCAAACACAGTCTTAGCCTTAAAATTTATAGAAGTACCAAAATACTGGAAAAAAATATTTAAATTGGGGCTTAAATCATCTCAATGAAGGATAATAATTATCGCCTAATTTTAAAATAATCGAATTTTTTTTTGATATTTTCATAAATTTTAAACTAAAAGCGTCTATATAATTAATTGGAGACAATTTTAAAAACTTACCAATCAAATTTATAAAATCCAAATCTTTTTGAGTTCGCATAAAAATCCGCCTAAAATAAATTGGGCTTGTCCATTTTTACAAGTCATCATTTCGCGGGTCCAACGAGTCATCGATGAGAGAGTGCTTAGATGGTTGAGAGAGAAATAGAGATCGACGACATCACTGGACGGAATCTATGGCGGAGAACACAACACGGCAAGCGCCTTCTCCACCTTCTCCACCTCCGTCGTCTTCCTCAGGATTCTCCGGTGAACGACAGATCCTTAGATTCACACCCTTCCAGAGCTCCGTGGACGAGGGCTTCTGGAGGAGACTTTCCTCTCTCAAGCTTGATACTCTGGGGCTCGACCAGTCCCCGATCCCCATCACTGGCAAGTTTTTTTGTTGCTCCCATTTTCCGACTTTGAACTTTACTTCTTACGAGTTCGCTCGCTTAATTGCAGGTTTCTATGCACCATGTTCACATCCACAAGTGCCAAATCCGTTAAAACTCATGGCAGAGTCCCTTCCGGATGATCCTCGCGAACAATCAACATCGTCTCAGTTGGTTATTGGCAACAGGAATAAATGCCCGGTGCCAGGGACTCTATACAATACAAATACGCTGGAGGGCTTCCATTCTCTTGATAAGGATGCTCTTCTGAAGATGGAAGCAAAGAAGGTCAACTCTTTGGAGCTCTCATTTTGAAAGAAAAAAAAAGAATATCGATTTTTACATCTTTAAGGTGTATTGTTTTTGATGTATCATGTGCTTAACTGCTGAACTGATAGCCCGATTGTCGACTGCTGCCTAGATTTTTGATGATATTATAAGCGGGAAGGCGGATGAGGATTGTTCAGTGCTTTCAAGGTTCCTTCTTATCTCATTTGCTGATTTGAAGAAATGGACTTTCCATCATTGGTTTGCATTTCCAGCTCTGTCGCTTGATCCTCCAGCAACCTTTGTTAACATACAGCCTGCTTCAAAAGTGCTCATTCCACAAGAGGTATTCTTTCTTATAGGTGCAGAAGTCATCATGGAGCTCCTTCCTCATTCTGCAGAGTTTCTAATGATGCTGTTATTCAATGATAGACAAAATCTTTAGCAATGGCGTGTAATGAATGGCGTAATTCAAACATAACAGCAGGTTGATCATGTATTTTGTATGTGAAGATTCTATTGTATGTTATTCATTTGTTGATTTCATTCTCTTTACTGTGGTTGGTATATTTGTTGTCAAACTGTAGGTGTGCCATTCTTTTTTGTTTTTATTTCATCAAATGCACATGTTACTATTCGACCATTGAAGGACTGGGAAGCTTTCCACCGTGATGGTGAAAAGGTATGCTCGTGGTATAAATTGCTATTTTGCAGCATGCAGTAAATCCTTCTATCTTATTTAGATGTAGTTTCAAAAAATTATAGTCATGCATCACCTTTTAAGACCTCTCTTCAGACAATATTTAATTTTTGCTTAAATAATGATTTGGAGTTTCTATTAATCTTTGGCTCAAACTGTTTGCTGCATCCATCAGCTGCTCTTCGGTTTCTATGATCCATGTAATCTTCCTAGTTATCCAGGATGGCCTCTTCGCAACTTCCTCGCATTCATTTGTTTGAGATTGAGGATGGAGAAGATTCAGTTTTTGTGCTATCGGGAGAGGCGTGGTTTAGCTGATATGGATTTATCCCTTGTAGGAGAAGCATTGGTTTTGCTTCCACAAGGTAGATCATCTGTTTATGGGTAAATGCCAATTTTGTTTTATAATCTGAACTGAAACAGGCCCAATTAATCCAATGTGATCTCTCGTACTTGAAAATGCTTATGATAGATTGGAAGGACCCTCTTAGTGTTCCTAAAGCTGTAGGATGGGACCCTAAACCTAAGCTTATAAACCTGGCGGCATCAATGGACCCAAAGAGGTTAAAAAAATTGATCTTCTGCTTGCAATAAGCACCTAAGTATCTTGGTGATAAATTTACCCATTTAAAGATGTTCCTTTTATTCTTGTCTCCGCAGGTTAGCCGTCTCTGCAGCAGATCTTAATTTAAAGCTCATGAGATGGCGAACCCTTCCATCTCTAGACATTAATATCCTATCCTCTGTTAAGTGTCTCCTTTTGGGTGCTGGTACATTAGGATGCCAAGTTGCCCGCATGCTGATGGTTCGTCACAAATGATTCTTTTATACATTCCAAAATTTCATTCTTTTTCTCTCTCCAATGGTTCCAATTTCTATCTTCAGGCTTGGGGCATTAGGAAGATAACATTGCTTGATAGTGGACGGGTTGCTATGTCCAATCCTGTCAGGCAGTCTCTGTACACATTGGAGGATTGCCTTAATGGTGGTGAGTTAAAAGCTGTTGCAGCAGCTAAAAGTCTAATGACGATTTTTCCAGCTGTGGTGAGGTTCAACTTTCTCATATTGTCTTCTTAGCAGAATTCCGATGTTGCAACCCCTGATTATTATTATTATATTGTAGGAAGCTGAGGGTATTAAGTTAGCAATTCCAATGCCAGGGCACCCAGTGCCTGCTCAAGAATCAGGTAACGTACTTAAAGATTGCGAGCTGCTTCAAAGTTTGATTGCTTCCCATGATGTAGTGTTCTTATTGACTGACACGAGGGAAAGTAGATGGCTTCCGACGCTTTTTTGTGCAAATGAAAACAAGGTGAAACTAGCAACCTAAAGCATTCTTATATGTCAGATTTTTGTTTTTATAATTTTTTTCTATGGTTTAGCTCCACCTTTTTTCTGAATTGCCTAGAATGTTATTCTAATTGTAGTGAGTTGGCTATAAAATGCTTGAATGATTACTTTTTATAACTATTTCTGAATGTCAAATCCATAGGCACGCTTGTCACTATTTTTGGGGTATCCTATCAATTTTAATTGATGATGTTATTTACTTACATAAGATTTTTAGGCTACCTATTGTCTAGATTGGAATCCATAGGAATCATTTGCATAGCTATTTATTGACAGCTATTCTCTAGAGTGCAGTTTTGTTAATCTGTGAAGGCCTGAATTGCTGACGGAGATCACGTGCTTGTATTATGCACCTTTTTAAGCATTTAGACATACTTGCATGAGAATTTTGAGATGGACATGTTCAGTGCCTTTACCATGATGTAATTTAGCAGTCTTTTAAATCTCTTGTATGGTAAGCATTTAAAAGCTTCTTGACTTTAAAGAGGAAACTTATTGTTACTGTTTCTGTGGCATTTAGATCACATAATAACTGAGATGCTCTCAAACATGTAGATTTCTCTAGATGTATGTTGGAGTTCCTAACGATTGATCTAGATGTATTTCGGGTTCTTAGTAGCACAAAGTGCACTATTAATACTGTTGTATCTAGAATGCCAAAACTCAAACCCAGAGGCTTCACCAAGTGCATTTATGATGTGCTACAAAACAAAACAAAGAAGAGATCAAGAAGCACAGTTAATAAGCAAAAAGAGTAATTCTGTTCAGCTTTAGCCTATTTCCATAGAGGGATAATCCGACTCATTGAAAGCATAGAGGCCACAAACATGGTATACGTAGAAGGAACACATGCTATTTCTTACTAAATTCAAAGTACGTTTGCACATAATGAAGAACAAGCCTAGCTGGGATCTCTGACATACATGATTTGTCTTATAAAGATCTGACATTCAAGATGATGCTGATCTTAATCCTAGCTGATGTTGCTCATTAGTGCTGAAATTCTCTGGTCATCGTCAAGAGAGAATCCAAAATGAGAGATTTTCACGCCAAAAAATCTTAGCAAAGTGGTTAAGCTTTGCTTCTTCAATTGCATGTGTAATGCTAAGCCAAGAAAGTATGTGATGAAAACCTCCAAGATTTGGCTTGCAAACCCGAGCTGAGATGATCTCATATATAGCTGCCGTGCATGTAATCCATAGTTAAAGGGGAAAAAATCAATGTTGGTTCTCATCCTCAGGAGTATATAAGTTCTCTGTTTTAGATGAATTTTTGGCAAAATGTGGATCTCCTTTTTGATATCTTTCCTAGTTGAGCTAGATCAAAAAGACCTGAAGGACAAACCATACCATACAAATATGATCTATCGGATCAACTGTTGAATTCTTCTCATCATCTTCGTGCTCGAGTTAGTTCCAAAAATTTTTTCTATGGTCAAGAAGGCAACTTTTTTCTCTATTCTTGAAAATATGATGCTCCAGCACAAATTGCTACTACTTATCAGTTATATTCTTAAAGTCTTCTAAACATAATTAGACTTTTGAAGGAATTTTATTTCTTCAAATCAAAGCTACCAGAATTCTAATATCAAAATTTTAAACCATCATTGATACCAGAACTAGGAGGAAATTCAATGGAAAATGTAAAACAAACTCTTAGGCCCATTTTGTTTGGTCTTTTGAAACCAATTTTTGCTAAAAACTCAATTTTATAGGTGTTTGTTTCGCCCGTTTTCTGTCCCCTGGTCGCGAAAATGTTTTGATTTACTGTATATTTGTGACCGTGGACTACGTAGTGTATTCTGCGGTTCTCAAATAGACAGTTTCGTGAATACCCTTGATCCTTTGCCTCGCTCCATCGTGCCCTAGCCGCTTCAGAAGGCCTGCTCCGCTAGCCTTGCCTCGATTCGGCGCTCATCGTCTCTGTTTCACCATAGGTACGATCCTTGCAAAAATGCACATATTTGAAACCAGGAATTACAAGTCCCTTCTCCTATATTCTTCTACTAAGCCCTCTACCTTCTACATTTTTTCTCCATTACTCTTCCCTTGCGTTATTCTTGAAAGACATTTTTTTTGTTGAGGGGAAAGCCTTTACTGTTCTATTTCACCATTGATGACAAGATGATGGAAAAATTAGCTTTTTTTTTTTACTAGGAGTGCAAAAAGTTCCTCTGCAGATTTTTTTTATTTATGAAATAAACGCAAGTTAATATGTTTTTTAGGAAGATTTGCACACAAACCTGGCAATTCGAATGTGTTTACATCTATAACACATAAAACTTCTATTGTTTTGAATGGTGGAGACCCTTCCTATGCTAGAATTGGTTTATTTTTCTGTTTAAATGCTAAATGATGTTATTTTTCTGTGGTATTGAAGATTTGGGTAGTATAATGATTTTTTATTGAAAAATAAAAAGGAAAGTTTATATATTAGATATGTGGAACTGAAGGGAATTGGCTTGTACGCATGTAAATACCTATTGATTTTTGGATAGATTGGTATAACAACTGATGTAAATGTTTTCCTGCTCTATTTGTATGGTATGATTGTGGGCATATCTTTTATTTCAGCTATATGCGAGAGGATTTTGTATATGCAATAGGCTTCAATCATTGTTATTTTATTTGAAGTGAGTTTTGTGGGGAATTGACATTTACAATACACAATTCCTTTAAATATCTATAGCCCATTCCCTTCTCCTAAAGTTCCATATTTACGGGTCCAATAATTTGGTGCGACGAAGCTATGCATAAAAATGTGGATTTCACCTAAAGTTACTAGCAATGTTCCTAAAATTCGAGTCTTGTTATCCCCTTTCACTTTCATACTTGACACTTGCGATATCCACAAGGTTCCTGTAGTACTTACGTGGCATGTGTGTGAATATGTGAATTTATGCTGCATATTTATGAAAGCGATAATGTTTATATGCCTTAAAGTTTTATGGTTAATATCTTCCAATATTTTATGATCAATATAATATTTTAAATTGTATCTCAAGGTGGTAGATATAATAAAAAATGAGTAACACAAGAGATAACACATCATCAATTATATGGGAGAAAGAAATAAAAATGATTTTTTGTGGCATTTGCTTAAGAGAGATTAAGTTAGGAAATAGGCTGATAACACATTTCAACAAGATCACAAAAAAATTCGAGAGAGAATGAGGAGATTGTATGACAGAAATCAATTAAAGAATAAATGAGATCAATTAAAAGAAGACTGAAAAATTTAGAAATAACTCAAAAGAGGATCCACTGAATTTGGTTGGGATCCAGTTACAAACACCATAGATGCATATGCACAATGGTGGACGGAGAAGCTACAAGTAAATTTAAAATTTTAATTTATGTAATTGTTCAGTTAAGTTACATGTAGAAGTATTATGAATGATTTTATCTTCGTTTTTGTTAACGACAGACTGTATCATGCTAAAAAATTCAGATTTGGTAGAACCGAGCTTGAATTAGAGAAGCTTGATCTAATATTCAATGGATTTGTTTCGATTGCTGAACATTCCTAAACTCCTCAAGACTCTCAAGAACCTAGAGAGACATTACTGGTCTTTCTCTTTTTGTCAGGTTGTCGGTTGAGCTCTAATGTTCTTTAACCATGACACTAAAATTCAACTGTACTTTTAAATTGTTTTTGTGCTAAAATATTTATAATATTTGAAAGGTATTTTAAAGCCTATTTTATCAGGTAAGTATGAGCTCATTGTTATTTTGATAAACTTATGCGTTTATGTGTCAAAAACTAATTTTCTTTGGCTGCTTGTGCCTTGTTTTGTGGATTGGTATTTATTCAATTGGTCGGTTTTAAAAGGGTTGTGATGAGTAATCGGACTCGAGGCGTTCTTTTGGATGGCCTCTCTTAAGTGCTTCTGGTGACCAAGGGCCCCTACATTATGGGTCTATTGCTTTCTTCTATTGAAATATTATTTATCTCCATGTGTTTACTCTAAACCTTGAGATTTGATATCTCGTTGAGCCCGTGATGGCCTATAAAAAGTAGAGGTTTTGCTCAACAGGTATTGCTTTGCCATCGCCTTTAAGAGTTCGGTTTGTTACTTGCTAGTGTTTGCTTGGTTTTTCTTACAAAAATTAATGTGCAAATTAATATTTTGTATTATTACAGAATCAAATCGAGCTCAAGCAATTTGTCATGCTCTAAGGGGAACAATCACCAAGCAATTTACTATGATTGCAACATCTTATGCGTTGTGTTTATCACACAGAAATGCGACAATATTGACCGTAAATTTTATAGATGCCACAAAAGTCTCTCAAATACAGATTGCAAGTTTTTTCAATGGGTTGATGAATCAAATTATGCAACACTGTAGCGATATGATGAAAAGATAGCGACATTTGAAGTCGCGGTGAAGAATGATCTTAATGAGTTGGAATTTTTTGTGAAACACTTGTTCTTATTTAATTTAGTAATCGTAGCACTGCTTTTATTGTTGTTGGCATTGTTTTTGTTTTGGTAATGATGTAATTTGAAGGACAAAATGTGTTACTTTAGGTGTTTTTTGGTAGACAAACTCGTCTATCTGGATGAGTTACAATTTATGTTGAACTAATAGTTATATGATTATTTTGACGGAAAAAAAATTAGTTTAATATTTGTCTTGACTTCTCTTATGGCATTGAGTTCGAAAATTAACATTAAAAGTTATCATTGGTTTGACTGAACATGAAGCATTTTCAAAATTGTGTTTTCCTAACAGTTTTAACTAAATTGTGTTTCTATACGGAGGGCATTACTGTCATTTTGTCTACAAACAACGCTTTCAGAACTGTGTTGTTCAAATAGGTCTATTGCTTCTGAAACACCAATATCTGAATAACAGTTTTACAACAACAGATTCTCAAACCAGCTTTTCTACAGTCGTAGTTGAAACAAACGCGCCCTTATTGATGTGGAGAGAGGGTTACAATGCAACATTACGGAAAATAATGACACAAAACATGAACGACACGAACAAACACCTTTAAGGTGTATTCCAAGGGTGGTGGAGGTCGGCCAGGTGGGTCGAGTTGGTTGGCAGGGGTGGTAGTAGCAAAGGAGTGCTAGTGACGAGGGAAATGTGCAAAACTGTAGGGACAACAATGATGGAGGGTTGAGCAACAGGTTTTGCTGCAGAACAACGATGACCGGGGCTGGTATGAAGGCTAGGGCGGGGGACAACTATGTTGGACTGTAGGGAGAGGCCGATTAAAGGTTGGGGTGACGTCCTGGGAGCTGGACAACAATAGTAAACAGTTGGAGGAAGGGTGGATGGGTGTGGGGATGAAGGAAGGGGAGGCCGAAGGCTGCTAGAGGGGGGAGGAGTAGGGATGGTAAAAAGAAAAGATATAACACATTGGAGGAGGATACAGTCGGAGCACCACCACTTCCTTGGATATAACCATACAAAAAGGAAAATGACTTCACACAGGAAATCTGAAAGCAAACACATCAAAATTTACAGAGAACTCTAAGCATAACAACCCCTATTTATAATGAGGACTAGAACTTATTTTAGGCAATGTTTAAAATAAGAAAGAAGAATAAAAAAATAAGAATTCAAATGAGGCAATGATGAATAAACTAATATAATTTCAGATTAGACAAGCATGAGAAAAATAAATTAAAATTTAGAATTGGTAAGGACTTATAATAGGAAAGTAATAGGAATGAAAGAGGGAGGGGGGGGAGAAAGGAAAGGGAGAGCTGTAGGGTCGGCAACCTCTCCTCCCTTGAGGATTTGCCGGTCCAGTAAAGTTGGACTTAACTCTCGAGGTCGGTCCTCCATAGCCGCCGCGTCAGTCTCTTGGGGTTGGGGGAGTTTCGACCTCATTCGTTGAAGTTTCTGGTTCTTGCCTTTAATCATGGTGACACTTGTATCCTCATCGTACGACATTAAGTTGCTTAATAGGTAGATCATGCCGGTGTTGTCATTTCACAACACATTCTGGTAGAATATGTTTCCATCCTCTTTTGGCACATCCTGAGCGGAAGCTGCATATAGAGGAGGATTCTTGCAATGTAACCCTCGAGTTTTTACATTTAAAATCTTCTCTTTTCACTTCTCGAGCCAGACGTGCGGTGGTAGAGTAACAAGCGTGCGCGGAGAACTAAATTCTGGGATGAAATTTGTAGTAGGTTATGCTACTTTCACCAGTGACCACTAAGGAGAGACATCTTCAGTGATAGGACCTGGATCTCATTGAAGAATTTTCATCCCCCTTAGGCTCTCAGGGCACATTTCAGAGTTGAGATTCAACCTACATGTCTGGAAATTTGCTGATAGGCGCCTTGCTGAGGTGACTCTAAAATATGGACTACTCACTGTAATAGTCCAGGCATGGGACATTTGACTCTTCTTTGGACATGCTGGACCTCCCGCCTTAGGGACAACTCAAGAGCGGGTCTATAGATTTGAAACACCTGTGTTGCCTCCTCAGGCTTGTAACTGTAATGACCACTTACAATGGAGTCGGTTGGAGTCTCTTCCACAAGCTCAACTGGGACTAAGTGTAGCTTGTCCTCAATTGGAAGCAGGTTCTCCCTATTTATGTACTCACTGTCTTTAGCGCACGCGGTGTATTTCCCCAATTTTTTGATGACACTCTGCTCAGTGAAGTTGATCACTCCTCTGGTTGTGCATTCTGCTTCAACATGTCCAAATCTGTGGCACTTGCAACATTTTCTAGCTGTGACAAACTTGCAGATTGGTTGCGCTGGATAAGTATCGCTTGGTGTTGTGGTCTTTTCACTTTGGAAGCTAGAGTTTGTAACTTTTGACGGTTGTAAATTGGTAGAAACTGATGTTGTTTTTTCCGCTTCATCTTTATTTCTTCTCGTTTCCCTCTTCACCCTTTCAAATCACTGTTGAGGGTAGCCTCCCATTGAATTTCTTCTTTCATGTTCGTAATCTACCGCTGAAGTCGGCGGATCTCTCGTCGTATCTCTTCCTGGGAAAGCTAGGGCATGTATCTCAATGGTGGTATGACTATGGTTTAGAGTTGGGAGGTAGGAGGGGTTTAAAATTTAATTTAGGGTTGCTGATTTTGAAAATCAGCAAAAGGAATTGAGGGTTAGGTCAAAGTTTTGGCTATGTTTCGGGGTAGTGAAGAACAAAATTTTGTTGGGGTGACTTGGGACCAACACACGCTCTAGCGCTTGGACGGACTGGTCCAGGTAGTGGTTGAGCTGATTGGCTCCTCTTGTGGTTTAGTTTTTCAATTTTGCGTGAGTTTTTATTGAGACATCTGCCTGCATTTTTTCTTCTTCTTTCAAGGGTTTTATCCGATGGTTCGAGTAGTGCTTCAGCTGTATCTCGCTCCTTAGGCAGTAATTATCTTATCTATCCCCTTAGACATCTGCCTGCATTTTTTCTTCTTCTTTCGAGGGTTTTATCCGATGGTTCGAGTAGTGCTTCAGCTGTATCTCGCTCCTTAGGCTGTATCTCCTCCCAACTTTGCTCCCGGCCGTAATTATCTCCCGATTAAGATGCAGGGCGCATGCGCACGAAACCGACACGCTCTAGCGCCGTGACAGACCGGTCCAGGAGGTGGTTGAGCTGATTGGCTTCTCCTCTTAGGTTTGGAGTCTCCTTTCAACAGTGGGCCCAATCCTAATTATCTAGGGCATATATATTTGCCTCTTGTGGTTTAGTTTTTCAGTTTTGTGTTACTTTTTATTGAGACATCTGTCTGCGTTTTTTCTTCTTCTTTTGAGGGTTTTATCCGAAGGTTCGAGTAGTGCTCCAACTGTATCTCGCTTTTTAGGTCGTAATTATCTTACCTAACCCCTTACACATCCTCCCAACTTCGCTCCCGACTGTCCTTCATTGATATGTTCGTTCCCGAACAGCCGCACATTGCTATTTTCCCTGCAGTTTTCCAATTCCAGCAGTTCTCTTGCTGTTCTGCAGTCCCCCGCATTGCCCGTCACTGCAGCCACCCGTAAATAGCCATTTACGGTGTTACTGCTGTTTTCTGCTGTTCCAACCACCTAACCATCCGTTTCTCCCATTCCAGCTTGCTGTCGTTGGGCAACTTATCCCCTACACTGCCGCCGTCCTCCTCTGCTGCCACAACCTAGGACTAGGACTGTCCTTCCCAGCCGTTTCCATCCTGTCCAGCCTCCTCTTTCTTGCCACCACTGCCCAGGACAGCAACTGAACTTGTTGTTGCTGCAGCTTCGCATCTCCCCCTCGCGGTTACCGACAAACCTTTGCTGCCGCCACGCCTTCCAGCCCTTCACCCAGTATTTTCTACCTTTTCGGAGGACCAAAATCTCACGATCACCACCACCACTCCAAGATCCACGTTAGTTTGAGTTTATTTTGTCGTGTATGTTACTATTTTTATTTTCATTTGTTATATTATATTGTCCTATTTTGAATTCAGCAATAATATTTGATTTTCTTATGATTGTTTGGATAAACTCTAGTATCAGGCATAACATTAACATCTAAATCATGCTTATTTACTTATGTTGAAATTTCTTTTACAGATTGCTATTACTGCAGCCTTGGGATTTGACAGTTATCTTGTCATGCGTCATGGTTCTGGTCCTGCCCCTGTTTCCTCTGATATGCAGAATACTACTAGCAGTTCAACCGACAAAACTGGGGTTGTTAATTCCACTGTCACTCAAATGCACAAAAAATCAACAAAAAATGAGGATAGAGGGCAGCGTCTAGGGTGTTACTTTTGCAATGATGTTGTTGCTCCTATAGATGTACTATTTTTTAAAATTAGCCTCCGTAAACTATTTTTTTCATCATAGTTCAAGCTTCTTTCCTTAATTGTTTACTTAACTGTAACTGGGTGCATTTCTTGTTGTAGTCAACTTCTAACAGGACCTTGGATCAGCAATGTACAGTCACACGACCTGGACTTGCACCTATTGCGTCATCTCTTGCGGTAGAGCTGCTGGTGGGGCTTTTACATCATCCTAAAGGGTAAATCAGAGTCTCTGCTATATTCTGCTTTTTTTATTTTTTCCTTCTTCATCGTGAATTTCTTCTCTCTTGAATTTTTCAATTTTTAATGACGCTAGCATTACTTCAAATTTCTTAGCTCTCATGAAGCCTCTTGATGTGATGAAATCATTAAGAATGTTTTTTGATCTCTTGGAAAAGTAAAATGAAACGGAATGGATGGGGTACAATGCATATAATTTTCTTGAGTTTTGTGGAAATTGAAAAATGAGAGATAGGAATCTTGTCACACTCGTTGAAGCTGTTAGTTAAAAAATTCTGAATTGTTATGTTGTTTGATGCGTGCATGAATGCTGGATGATTTTGAGCAGCTTGATACTATCATGCATTGCAGGGGAAGCATTCCCACTGCGTTGCAGATTCTGCAGGTTTCTGTAAGAAAATTTGAGTAAAATTATTTGTTACCATACCTACATTGCTGTAAAACGATACTTATGTTATTTAATGTACATTGCTTGTTCTCCTCTTACTACACCTAAAATCAAACACACCTTGAGAGTTTTATGTGTGACTATGAACTTTTTTGTTGCAATAATTATTTTAAATGTCCCTTTCACCTTGAAGCTGATAATTGCTTTGCTGTTTCTTCTCTTTTGAAGTTTATGACATGCCCATTTTGCCTAAGGTGTCAAGCTCATATGTTGGCTTTTTGGCAGGATAAATGCTCCAGGGGAGATTTCCAGCTTTATTGTAGGCAGCAGTGATAGGCCCCTTGGTATTTTACCACATCAAATCCGAGGTTCTCTTCCTCAGTTTTCTCAGCTGACGCTCCTAGGCTACTCATCAAAAAGCTGTACCGCCTGCAGTGATGCTGTTAGTTCGTTTCTTCTAATTGCTTTGATTATTAACCAGTGTACTATTTGTTATCACGTGGAATTATGCAGTCTTAAGTAGGAATTCTGTTCTTACAAGTTTCTTTCCATTGTTATTCCTTTTTCATTATCTGCTGAAAGTATTATTTTTGTTAATACGGAATGAAAGGAGCTATAGAATCATGTATTAAATAATACAAAATTTGTACCATGGATTCATACATTAACGTGAAAAGAGGAGTGATACCGGGAGGGGTATGATTGTAGAATTTCAGTAAAACAGTAACATTAATTGTTATGAAGATTTTTGGAGATAAAGAACTGTAAAAATGAATATTATTGATGTAAAGGAAGCACAATAATGGATACGACAAGACACCACTTGGACTGCTAACTCCAAGATATAGCTGCAATGATGATGAACGAGGTGGCTCTATCTTTCTAAAAGAAAGAAATTCACAATTCTAAAAACACCCCTATAAATAAGCACTAAGTCCCTCTTATTATTACAAGCTTGCCATCCAAATAGAAAAATACAAAACTGAACTTTAATATAATGTAGATAGCAGTAGTACTGACGCTCCCACGTTATTCTCCTAGGGTTGAAGAAGATTTGACTTAGGTCTCCATTTCCAACTCAGTACATTGAAAATGATGGAGTTGTTCTAATCTCCAGGTAGGTCAAGATTGGTGATCCAAGTATCTGCCCTAGCTAATATGTCAAGATAAGTGATATATGAAGAAATCTTAGTCTAATGTTCATTAAGTTATAAACATTATTCTCTATTGATTTAAACTTTCTGTAGTACTCAATTTCACTTATTGAAAAATCTTTGGCAACACAACAATCAACAAATTGATATAGAAGAATATGAATAAATTTACAAGTAACAAAAGTTCTTTGGGATTGTTGGTTGCATTCATGAGATGTAAAGGTTCCAAGGAGCTAGTAGATTTGGTGCAAAAATGAAACTCTTGCACGTCAACGCATGATTTTTTATTTTCATGAGAATCGAGACCTGTTGAATATGAATTGAATTCCAACATATCATTCTTAGAAGAGATTTTACAGTCATGATGCAATAGTAAAAGATACTTCAATTTTTCGTTTACACCTTGATCACATCCTGTATTTTCCATTGTTAGAGTAAGGTTTTAGCTTTTGGAAAGAATTTCCTATTTCCCCATCTAGGAGTGCTGAATCTTTAAGGTCTTCGTGCTAATTGATATGGGCCGAAGAAACATCTACTAATATGTGATCATCACATTCATCCGCGTATTCATCCAAAATTAATTCCTCTTTTAAAATAATGTACAATTTTTTGACCTCTGACCGTGACAATGGGTCAAGGATAATGAACATAATCGGCTACATTGTGTCGACATATTTTTCAATGTCGACAAATTTACTTCACCAGAAATAATTTACTGCAAGTGGTTTGATAAAAATCACACACTTCCAATTTGAATGTTGTTCATAATGAACTACATTAGATCGAGCTGCCAAACATTGATGCGGGAACTTTTCACTCTAGGAACTGTAACGCATTTCTCCTCGTCATACATGTGCTAATCATATGCAGGTATCCACGATGATTCCAACATCGGACTTTCAAACCCATCGAAATTTGAGGATTCTTGATGAATTGGTTTTCATCTTCTCTCTCAAGAATCTTGTTTTCTTAATCCAACTCATGTTCTTCCAATTTTCTTTGTTTAAGAACATCTATTCTTTCTTGAAAAAACCGGATCTTCCGTTATAAACCTTCCATAATGAGTTCTTGATTGGGACGAACAGTAGGTCTTCGTGTAGGCATCTTAGGTTAGCACTAGGGTGTCAGACGATGAAGAAATGATGTGGGCCTGTGCTGGAGATGGAGGTTTTAAGCAGAAAAATCAGCTGGGAAACACAAAAAAAAAAAAAAAAACATTGGAAAATGAAAACATAAAACAACACGCAAGTGTCCAAATTCTGTTCTTGCACTATGCTGATAATCGATAATCTCAGGGTTTGGACAACAAAACAGAAAACAAAGCAACAACAAGAGGCACAAAACATGATGAAAATAGTAGGGAAGAACAAGAAGAAATGCACAATTTCTTATCTTGCACTAGGCTGATCGACTGAAATGAGCGCACAACACTTAGCTCTGATTGTATAATTTCAGCAAAATAATCATCAAGAATTATCGTGAAGATTTTTGGAGACGAAGAAGAACAAAAAGGAATAGTATTGATGTAAAGGAAACACAAGAAGACACACGACAAGATATCACCTAGACTACCAACTCATGCAACTGTAAGGACGATGAGCGGGTAACCCAATGATACCGGAGTTAACCCAAACTACAATGCGATAATAATTTTATTGCTGTAATTCAAATGGGTTACACGTAAAGACACTTGAAAATAAAATAAACGACCCCACCTACATGAAGATTCCTCTAGGGTGAGGTTTGAAGGTGGGGGTTGCATGTCGAGGTAGTTGAAACATGGAGTGGTAGGTGGTAGGGAGGCTTAGCGTTAGCGAGGGGAAGGCGGTTTGGTAGCTGAACAACAAGCAGGAGGCTATGGAGTGGGCGACATCAAGTTGGGATAGGGCTGGTGCTGTTGGAAAGCATGGTGCGGTGCCGGGAGAGGCAACAACAGTAGGAAGGGTGCGTAGGGAAGGGGCAAAAACACGTAGGACAGGGAAATAGAGAAGGAAATATGGAGGTAATCACCATCTTGGAGCAGTATACAACTGAAACACCTCCTTTCTTCGGCTGCAATCCTAGCAAGTGAGAAAGACGCTGATAATAGAAATCCGAAAAACAAAAATTGAACACTAATCGAAAAAAATAATACATATATAATATTAAATAACAAAAATTGAGACCACTCCCTTTGGGCAACAATCCTAACCTATGCAACTGGGTCGGTCGGCCCCTGTACCCCTAGCTAAACCAATTCAGCCTTCCCCAATTGGTTCTGCCTAGGTGTGCCCCACGTCACCCAACCATCCCAAAAGAAGTAAACTCTTAATTCTAAAAACACTCCCTTCTATTCACAAAGCAACACCTAATTATAAGCACTAAGGCCCCACTTATTACAAGTTTGTCATCCAAATAGAAAAACACATAAAAATAGAGAACTAAAATATAAAAACTGAACTTTAACATAATGTGGACATAGTAGTATCGGCGCTCCAGCATCAAGGAGGACCATAGATTTATATGTAACATAAAAAGGGAAGTATCACATATTGCTTTCTTCTCTCAATGGCCAAGATAGAAAGTTTTGAATATTAATTTTATTTTTTAAAATTATTTAAAATAAATAGTTTCTAGTTTTGAATATTAGGTATGTTTGTGTGTGAATATCCAGTAGTGGAATAAATGAAATAAGCTTTCCAACGACATCCTTTTTTTCTATATGATATCTAAGCAAGGTTAAGGTTCTCTTCCAAAATTATATTTTTACCCTTTAAAATTTTCTTTTCCTCATCATGTTTGGTTTTTTAATCTTCTTTATAAAGAGCAACCGTCACAAATGGTGGAAACCAAACTAAAAGAGAACTTCAAATGCTACTGTCTGCGATAAAAAGTTGAAAGGTGTGGTGGAGTTGCCTGTAGGAAGCTGTCGATCACCGAAATCAAAATCCCGTCGCCCGCTTCGGAAGCACGCTTTAATTTACATATAGATTTAAGTTTAAAATCAAACATGAAAATCAAACTGACTCCATATTTTTCATAGTTTAAATGAAAGAGCGCTTTACCTCAAACCCTGTATCTATCACGAGGGATAAACATAAGACTTGAGGATGAGACTCGATCAAATAAACTAAGAAATACATGACGTCCGTTTGGTCTGTGAAACCATTTTATTTGCCTACAAATTCCCCTATTTAATATAAAAACTTAAATAGGGTTTATTTTAAGCTGGGTTCGGAAAAGCTTCCTATAAGGGCAAGCCCCTATAGTTAATTACATCTTAAATGACCGAAGTCATTTAAAAATACTCTCGATAAAAATCAAGAAAGATCGTCTTCGAGGAGGTCAAAAGGATATGACTTTTCAACGAAATCGGACAAAAATGTGTGCAAAAATGTAATGATTCAAATTTGAAACATTTATTGTAGAATCAAAAGGAGGAAGAACTAGGGGATGCCACAGATCCGAAGGAAAACCTCGGTGACTTTCCAGTCACCTCGGTGACTACCCGGTCTATCCTATTATTTGGGTTCAGTTTGAGGAGAAATATTTAGGTTTTTATCCTGCCAATTTTTATTTAATTAGGGCTTAAATTTGCGTGACAGAGTCACACAAATTGCCAATCACACAAACAGCCTGGAAGATGTGAGGATTTATGTCGTGACGGACGACAACCTCGGAATCCAAAAACGAGTTAGAGTTTAGATCGTACAACAGAGCTGTACAAATGCCTAATGAAAAGTTGAGGATTTATGTTGTGCTAGGCGAACAACCTCGAAAAATCCTATGGATTGTTGTTTTAATTTCTAGGAAAGGAATGATTTAGCTGGGAAAGACATGTTCTGCTGTTAAAAATGGTCGTGCTGCCCACCGCGCTAGTTCCACGCTCCTTGTCGTGACAAGTTTAAGTTTTCTAGGGTGTCAGGTTATAATGTCAAATCCAGCGGCCCTATGGTTGTAGTTCTTCAGATATTTTTATAGATAACATGTTGAAGTTTGATTATAAGAGAAGAACATGTTGTAAACATAAAACAAACCTGTATACCTAGGAGATCCGCTGTTCCTTAAGTGTAATTGATGCGACAGACACAAGCAACAAAGCTTGAGGAAGCAGACTGAAATGCTTTATATAAACGAAAATAAAGAAACATCGTCCAGAAATCTCGAGAAAGATCGTCAAAAGACTCACGACAAGAGAAATGTGAGGAAATCGACGAATCAACAAATCAATTAAAATCATAGAAAACATGGGAAAATCCCGAAAAGAGGCCACGAGTGCTTTGTCCAAAAATTCGAAGAAAAACATGAA